CTATGTGACTGCACCTCTCAACTGGCGAGATGACTGTTTGCATGTTTTAACCAGATTACAGACTGGAACAAATGTGGTGAAAATCAACATGCGCTCATCCCTGTGGAAACTGGAGAAGCAGCAGATGCTGCTGCTGGAAATAGCTGGGACTTATGCGTCTTTGGATGAAAAAAACATCTTGTGAAAAAAAAATGACTTGTTCCATGCATTGATTCACAGATTAAAAAGGGTATATGTTATTGTTTAATGTGTTTTATTCTAGTAGCATTATAAATTTAGAATGGTAAATGCAATGCAAATGACCTCTTTGGCATTTCCTATAGCAAATCCTTTATTTACCGTAGACCAAAGTCATGTGTCCAACCTAATTCAATGTTCGTGAGAAAAACAAGTCTAGGAGATTTTGAGATGAAAATGAGAATGTTTGGTCCTATTACAAGCCCTTAATTAAACTGCCAGACTATGGCTATCCCAGTAATTGTCTATTGTTTCCTCTGGCAGAGAGAGGGCCTGCATAAGTCACAGACAGTGGGCAGAACAGGATTAAAAAAGGCACGACCACATGACCTAGTACAAGAGTTGTTGTGTTTATAGCATTTGTCCTTCTGAATGAGGTTTGAGCATCTTCCCTAGGGTCTTCCTTGTTGTTTAGCTTCTTTGGGAGTAGAGAGATTTTAGTATGTTTATTCTATATTATATGGTTAATATCCACTTATGAGTGAATATATACCAAGTGTGTCTTTCTGTTTCTGGGTTACCTCACTCTAGATGATCTTTTCTAGGTCCCACCATTTGCCTGCAAATTTCACAATCGAGGTATCGAAGCAGAGGTCAAGACTCATAGCCAAACTTTGGGCAAGATTCAGGGAATCTTATGAAAAAAGGGGGAGGTATAAAGACCTAAAGTGGACAGGAGCTCCAAAAGAGGACAAATATAGCCATAAAAACTGAGCTCTGGGGGCCCTGGAGTGACTGATATCCCAACCAAGGACAATGCATGGAGAAGACAGAAAACTGAGGCTCAGATGTAGCCCATAGACTCAGTCTCCAAGTTGGCTCCCGATGTAGGGGAGCAGGGACTTTCTCTGGCATGAACTCGGTGTCAGGCTCTCTGATCACCTCCCCCAGTGGGGTGCAGCCTTGCCAGTCCACAGAGGAAGAGAATGCAGCCAGTCCTGATGAGTCCTGATATGCTAGGGTCAAACAGAAGGTGAGTAAGACCTCCCCTATCAGTGGACTAGGGTAGGGGCATAGGGGGAGAAGGGGAGTGTGAGTGGGACTGAGAGGAGACCACGGAGGGGGCCACAGCAGGGATAAAAACAAAAGAGTTGCTATGGAGACAGAAAAGGAAGTGAGAATAAGGGGTCAGCAGGAACAGTTAACCACATTGGTGACTGTATTTTATCAACATGCCCAAGCAAAAGATAAACAAGCAAGCAACAAAACCAAAAAAGATTATCTGTGATAGAGGTGGTCATTCAGTGTTGTTTTCAGTGTTTACTCTGACTGTTGAAAGTACTTCACAAAACTCACGGCTACAACTTACTTTAAGACTTCTGCTTTTTCCTAAGATTCCCTGCACTCTACCCAAAGTTTGTCTCTGAGTCTCAGCATCTGCTTTAATACCCTGCTGGGTAGAGTCCTTCAGATGCCCTCTGTGGTAGGCTCCTGTCTTGTTCCTTGTTTTTGCCCTCTTCCCATGTCCATCCCGTTTCCAGGGATTCTTTTGAAAGAATAGGGAGACAGAAAGACCTGGAGGGGAGTGGAGCTCCACAACGAGAGCAACAGAACAAAATAATCTGGGTACAGAAGTCTTTTCTGAGACTGATTCTCCAACCAAGGACCATTCATGGAGTTAACCTAGAAGCTCTACACAGACATAGCCCATGGCAGCTCTGTGTCAAAGTGGGTACACTAGTAAGGGGAACAGGGGCACTCTCTGATATGAACTCAGTGGCTGGCTTTTTGATCACCTCCCCCTGGGGTGTGGGGCATAGCCTAACCAGGCCAAAGGGGAAGACAATGCAGTCAGTCCTGATGAGACCTGATTGGCTAGGGTCAGATGGAAGGGAAGGAGGACCTCCCCTATCAGTTGGAAGGGGTATGGGAGGAGAGGAGGGATGGAGGGCAGGATTGGAAGGACTTGAGGGAGGGGACTACAGCTGGGAAAATAACTAAATTGTAAATTAAAAAATAATTAAGGACTTCTGTTTTTTTATAGTTTTCATTACTTTATTAAACCTTAATAATATTCTTTCAAGGACAAACATACAGCCAAGGATGCTACAGTAAGAAAGTCTTATTTTTATGAGAGAAGTTACAAGGTAAATCCAGGTGCTCTCTTCATTGATACTTATTATTATTATTCTGGGAAGTCAGGAAATATTTATCCCCTACAACTGCCACAAATGCAGCAAATCCCCATTTGATTCCTTTTAGTAATGTGTTCATGAAAGTAATATTGTTTGCAAAGGTGTCCTTGTATCCCCAAGCCTCATTTTAACCCATGGATCCCTCAGCCCTCATGCAGTAAACTTCTTCTGAACCATTTCTAATGGTGTCCCTCAATTTCCCACTGTCTGTAATCTGGGAGTTGCAAACTATCATGTTCATGTCCATTGGCCATGTCTGACAGCAATCTGACCTTTCATTACATTCAACATTCAACCTTCCTATTTTAAGACTACTTAATTCAAAATGGTGTTTCCAGAAATCTTAGGACAAACTTATACAGCTACCAGAGGTTCAGAAACTGACATCATGAGCATGTGACCTGACATATAGTTCTACTGACCCCTACTCGTGGTAAAAATGGATTAAGAAAGTTGGTTTGTTTTAAGATAAAGTGGGTTTGGGGGGAAATATCACTTCGCTATAAAATGCATTAATGACAGTTTTGAAATCATACAGAAAGGCTTTGTAACTTCATACAGAATATTTATTCTTCTGGGTAGTTTATTCTCAAATTTCTCAAATAATAGTGAGTAAATAAACATATCAGGAGATTCCATTTTTATCTTTTACGATGACATGACAATCAATATTTTCTTACAAATTATTTAGTAAGGAATTATACATATATTTGGAATACAGAATGTTCTATTAGTGTGTGTAAACCTAGAAGTAACTTTTTGAATTGATTTAATTAGCTTCATATGTGAATATTGAGGGATGTTCCTGAAAAAATATCTATTAAAATTGTAATGTTTTTTTGTCACTGTCAGGCATATATGTTTCATTTCAGTGTTAAAATGATGATTGGATTTGGACTTTTAGCTAAAACATTAAAAAGTAGAGAGGGGGAGGAAGGTATGAAAAGAGGGAGGAAGGATGAGAGAAAGGGAGAAAAATAGAGTGAGAATGTGTATGAGGGAGAGGAGAGAGAGAATGAAAGAGGAGAGATATAAAATTATGCTGATACTTTTGTCTGCAGCTCATTAAATGTTTCCCCATAAGTTCACACTTAATGCCACTGAGCCCTACGTTGCTTATGTTTATATTAAATGAAGGATTAGGATGAAGCAAGTACTCCTAGCACCATGATTGGACATTTATTTTCTGTATTAGACAATTTTAATCCGTTATGAAATATGGCATATCATGATGACTCTGAAGTACCTTGTGATGTTATATAGCTGATAGCGATTACTTGGTAAGATTTTGGATGGATTCAATGAAGCATTTAATTTTTCTTCAATGTGGCTTTTTAAATGATAGACTTTAACCCTAATTCTCTATAACTACTGTATGTGATTGCTTTTCAGGCAACAGAAGGACACGATATTTCTCTATTCAAACTCTTGCTGGGGTTTAAAGCAACAGAAATCACCTGTGTGACACACGTAGTTGAAAGAAGAAAGATGTGCATTGTTCATTAGATACCACTTAGTTCTTAAGGGGGAATGTCACTTCTACCACTTTACATTTTAATAGAAGATAAGTTTTATAGCAAAAAAAATTCAGGAAAAGAATGGCTTTACTCCTCACAGAAAATCATATCGTGATTCACATAAGACTGAAGTCTGCTGTATGACTTTAAATTGTAACTGTATTTTCAAAAGGTGAATATTCAGAAATGTATTGATTTGATAATAACAATGTAAACAAATTACATTTGAAGATAGCAAAACTGGGTACTTCAGAGTATCAGGAGATGCATTGTATTCAAGCAATTGTATATATAAGTGGCACAATTCTTATATCTGATATCCAGCATTACTTCCAGAAATATTTAGAGCAGAAATAGAAAGTGATGTATTCAAGGCCAAATGTACCTGTTTTGCCCGCATAATTTCTACAGTCTTAACCAAAGTTTATTCTGACCTTATAACTCTAAAAAGCAGATCTACCACAATGACTTGGCATTATCCATCCTAGAATTTTGTTTTGGTTAATTTAACAAGTACTTTGAAGAGAGATCTTGGTGTTTCTATCTCCCCTTGCTTGTTGTCACTTACTGAAGAAGGGAAAAAAATGAAATCTTATTTATTAAAAGCCAATTACATGATTTGTTAAGTTTCTATAGATAACTTTTTATTTCTTGCTCATAGAATGAAACTCTTGGTGTGTCCATATGTCACATTACATGAAATGACTCAGGCTTCCAACTTTTTTACCTTTACAGTCTGGTACAATTTGGATTCAAAGTCAGATGTATTTGACATGTCACGTTGCTTCTTAGATAGTAGAAATAATCACACAGGTTTTTTTTTCCCTCTAGCTTCCTTCAATAAACAAGTGTTCTGAAGTTAGTTCATGTAGGTTTTATACCTGATTTGTGAATAATGGACTATGGAACGTGAATCTGAGCCAGTGCCTCATGTGTTTCTGTGGAAGAAAAGTATATGTACTGCAGATTTAACACAGAGTAAAACTTTAAAACTCTCATACTGCATGGCCTATTTATATGACTTACATGACCTGTTGGGCAGAATTGATTCTTGCTTTTTTTTCTTCTTCCAATGTGCATAATTCATCACAGGGTTTCTTTCTACTTGCAGGCATGACTTGTCAAGCTCGAACGTCATACACTGAAGATGAAGTTCTTTGGGGTCACCGTTTTTTCCCCGTCATTTCTTTAGAAGAGGGGTTCTTTAAAGTTGATTACTCCCAGTTCCATGCAACATTTGAAGTCCCCACACCTCCGTACAGTGTGAAAGAGCAGGAGGAGATGCTTCTCATGTCCTCCCCTTTAATAGCACCAGCCATAACCAACAGCAAAGAAAGACACAATTCTGTGGAGTGTTTAGACGGGCTAGATGAAATTAGCACAAAACTTCCATCCAAGCTACAGAAAATTACTGGGAGAGAAGACTTTCCCAAAAAACTCCTGAGGATGAGTTCCACAACTTCAGAAAAGGCCTATAGTTTGGGTGATTTGCCCATGAAACTCCAACGAATAAGTTCGGTTCCGGGCAACTCTGAAGAAAAACTGGTATCTAAGACAACCAAGATGTTATCTGATCCCATAAGCCAATCTGTGGCTGATTTGCCACCAAAGCTTCAAAAAATGGCTGGTGGACCTGCCAGGATGGAAGGGAATCTTCCAGCCAAATTAAGAAAAATGAACTCTGACCGCTTCACATAGCAAAACACCCCTTTAGGCATTATTTAATGTTTTGATTTAGTATTAGTCCAATATTTGGCTTACAAGATAATCCTCCCTGTGAAATCTGAGAGGTCTATCTCCCTCCAGCGAGTATATGAGAGAACTCTTCATTCCAGTGTTGTTACCGTGCAGAACATGAGTCATGAAGGGAGGCCACCATAAGGAAGTTGTTAGTGGGCATGTATTATCACACCAAGCATGCAATAATGTGCAGATTTTGCATTTAGTTTTATGGCATGATTTATATATGGCATATTTATATTGAATATTCTGAAAAATATATAAATATATATTTGAAGTGGAGATATTCTCCCCATAATTTCTAATATATGTATTAAGCCAAACATGAGTGGGTAGCTTTCAGGGCACTAAAATACATACATACATACATACATACATACATACATACATACATACATACATACATACATACATTCGCACACAATACACTTATATATAACATACCCATACAAACATATATATCTAATAAAAATTGTGATGTTTTGTTCAAATTTGTATTTCTTGTGCATGTTTACTTTATTAGACTAGGGAGGCTGCTGGCATTGATTATGAATACCAAATATTTTAGCCTTAAATTATTTGTTATTTAATAATCTGATTTAATGTTTTCTGCTGTTAAGATCATGGGATCTTTCAACTGTACTTTATCCTGAAAGATTAGCAGAAGGTTGTGGTGTTTCTGACACCATGGAGATATCACTATTATGTATTTAATTTGTAAATTTTAGAGTGTGCCAGTACCTGGCACACATCATTAAACTTTTCTTATGATTTTTAGACCGCACTAGAACTTGGGGGTGGGGCGAGTAAATAAAAGTTGATCAATTCGTCAATTAGGCTTTTCCTAGACCAGCTAATACTGGAAGCCGAATTTGTACACAGTTTAATAAAAATCTGAGCTCTGAACAAATGCTGGATCATTGGAATAGTAGAGAGATTATTTTGAATACTTCAGGCTGTGTGAAATTTATAGGGTAATGGGTGGCTATTTCAAAATGAGTTGGTTGCAAATGTTTTCTTCTTTTTTCTGGAATTCTTGTCATCCGTAACAAGACCTGTAGATCTTTTGAGAGACATGACAGTGCAAAGAAATACATGATAAATGCTGGTGTTGAATATGCCTAGGAGAGACTCTTTTATGTCGCCTTCTTGTTTATGGCATTTGTTGTGAAACGAGAAACTTCTTCCTCATCTGGAGCACTTACCTCAGGTCTGTTACTAGTAATTTAACACAGATCTGAGAGAAATTAAAATTGAATGAATTGACAATGCTTTGTACACTCAGGATTTTTTTTGTTTTGTTTTGTTTTGGTGTTGAACAATTATTTTTATTGATGCCTTGGATCCCTGGCCTCCAGAATAATTTTAGCAGTACTATTTTTAACCGTCAACATCTGGTCGGTATCAAACATGATCGGTAGTACACATTTAGCACAAAGGTTTAGAATGAAAAATATTTTTTTTGAAAAATAAAAAAATACTTCTTAGCAGACTCGTATGCATTTTCCTATACAATTTCTCTGAAGTTTTCAATCCAACTTAGCCCAGAGTTAACTCACCTCTCATTAATATATAAATCACTGATGGATGGTTTGAGCACACAGTATTCCTTATTGCTTGCCAATCCTGTGATAACTTTATTAGAGACAAATTATGACATCTGCAGTATATCATCCATTATATCTTCTGGCTACCTCTGTATCATCCAAATTCTGTAGGTGCAAACACATAACAGGGAATTACTACTGGAAAAATGATCAACTTTAGCATCCATCCACTGTGAATAGAGCAGTTGCCCTACCCCTTGATCACCAATTGTTCTTATTTGCCAGATGAAGATGATGAAATATCAGTGACAGGAAATGGGGACCAGTGGGTATGGTCTGCTTAGCAGTGGAGGAGGCTGCAGAGATCATTTCGTCCAACACCTTAAAACTATACAGAGCCATAAACCCTTTGGAGAGTCTTTTTAATTTGTTTTTGGTATTGTGAAGAAGAACCAAAAACAAACTCTCTGAATTTATTCACTTAACAAAATTTTTTGCATGCCTTCTTTGTCCTAGGCATTGTTGTTTTACTTTTGTTCCTGGGGATTTGACATGTACACTGTATCAGCAGGGAGTGTAGGGAGAGAGAATGAGGGAGAGGGAGAAAGGGGAAGGACAGGGACAGGGTTTCAGAGGAGAGCATCCAGTAGTCAATATTTCAAACACGAGTATGAACACAAGATAGAAATGGAAATGATTGTGGGCTGTTAACTATTCATAAGATGATACTTAGAGAGTTGGTTAATGTTTAACATTAGGACTGAAAACTTAATGATATGAAAAGAACCAGTGTTGCCAAAATAAATCAATTTAAGAGAACAGTACACTTTTACCTTTTCCGCATACGTGTGGGAACAGTATGATTTCTGCATGTACTTGCAGTTTAATCCCTATTTCTAGGTTGGTCATAGGATCCAGTCTGCCCAGGAAAATTACAGTTTATACTTGTTGTACTTGTGTAGTTATTAGTAGCCCTCTCTTTGATTACTATTATGTCCTGGTTTGGATGATATATGGTAAAGTTTTGTTGACACTAACAAAATTATCAAGTCTAATATATTTGGAAAAAATAAAGAATTGCTTTACTTCTCCTTTTCTTGATTTTCTTTTTTTTTCCCCCACAGATCATTTTGGGAAATTCATTCTGCTATCACCTGTTTCTATCCTTAAGTACTTCTTAAAAAAGAAGTTTAGTCTGCGCATGACATAGCTCTTAGGTTTGAAAGTTAGGCATTGTATTGAAAGCATAACATACAAAATACACATAACAATTTCCACTTCATAATTTGTCAGAACTAAAATAAGAAGAAGTGAAAGTCAGTGTATGCCAATATGCTTTCAGATCACCTGTTTAGTGGATATTGGAAAAGAAATATCTTATTTAATAATTGGAAACCAATGTGTTCCTATCATTTTGCAACATAGTTCTGGTTATGGTAAAATATATCACTTTATCAAAATGTTGACAAAACATAACCATTTTGATAATGCTTTTCTTTAAGCATTTATTTTTGCAGCAATATATAAATATACTTCATAAATATATGGAAAATTAGCTGAAGATATTTCATCATTAGTTTTATTTAATCTTATGATATTTTAAAATCATACATAGCTTTACAACTTATCAAAAGTATTCTGTTACCCCAGTACCAAAAAATCTTTTAGTCTGGAAAGGAATGCATGATGATATCTAATGCATGATTTCTCCTAGAGGTATATTATGACACAGCTGACTTTCAATACTTGTATTTGGAACATTTCTGGTATTTTTTTTACTATGAAGAAAGTTCAGTTTGGTTGCAGAGGATGTCTATGAACTCTATTTCTCAATCTATTCTTGAATTATATTTTGTATATTAAATTAGTGTGAAACATATTTTCTAGCAGCCAATCTATAATGTACAAGGATGTTTGTGCTGCAAACATATAAATTCATGTATTCAGTACAGAGAGTTTAATTTTTAAAAATACATTCAAATTTTGGAACACCAATGGACTTAATTTTCAAAGCATCACCGTAATTTCTTTACTTTACTACGGTTAGTGAACCAGACATCTTCATATAGTTTGTGGCTTTCTTTGAAACTTACTTTTCTCATACAATACATTCCAACCACAATTTTCCCTCACTCCCCTCTTTCTAGCCTCCCGCTCCACCTCCCCTCTCCCCAAGATCAACTCTTCCTTCCCACTTCCCTTCAAAAAAGCATAGGCTTTTTGCAACCAATTACATAACAAGATACAGTAAGGTAGGCCACAAACCCTTATATCAGGGCTAAGTGAAGCAACCTATTAGGAAGAAAAAAGTCCCATGAGCAGGCAAAATACTCAGAGACACCCTCTACTCCCACTGTTAGGAGTCCCACAAAATCACCAAGCAAAGAAACATTGCATATATGCAGATGCCATAACACAGACACATGAAGGCTTTGTGTTGGCTGCTTTAGTTTTTGTGAGCCTTTATGAGCCCTGTTAAATTGATTCTGTGGGCAGTGTTCTTCGGGCGGCCTTCATTCACTCTGACTCCAACCATTCTTCCTCCCCCTCTTTCATAGAGTTCCCCAAGTTATGAGGGGAGGGACCAGAACTAACTTATGACTTATTTCCTAATGCTGTAATCTGATCTACCAGAAGATCTTGCTTGTAAATTACTTTATTGTACCTTTTAATGGATGAACTGTTTCAGCATCTTGAAGCCGATACTTAATAATGTTGATTTCTCAGGATCTGATAGGTGGAACCTTCAAGAACAACTTATTGCATATTAAGTGCTTTTAAAAGCTGTGGTAAGTAAAGTAGGGAAAGTATCCCTTTCTTTATTTTCTTCAAATAAAAAACATATATTAATATTTGCTTACTTGGTTCACCTAAAAATATTCCATAGAAGGAAATGTGCCACCAGGCAAGAGACTATGAATCCTTTGACATGTACTTCTTCCTGCTCCTGGGGTCACCACAGAATTATTTTTTTATGAAAAAAGTGAAACTTAGGAAGCAAAGTTACAGGATTATAGATATTTATCAGTGTTAGGGCAGTTACTAACTATGCAGAAGACCTGGATTTGGTTCCCAGCACCATGTCAGGGACTCACAGCCGCCTATAACATCATTAACAAGGGATCGTTTTCATTTGCTTTTCTATTGTTGTTGTATGGCATCATGACCAAGGAAACCTACGAGATAAAGTGTTTCAAACGTCCATGATGGAAAAGGCATGTTGACGGGAAGAGTTGAGAGATGACACCGTATTCCGAAAGTGGAGGAAGGCAGAGGGCACACACACACACACACACACACACAGAGAGAGAGAGAGAGAGAGAGAGAGAGAGAGAGAGAGAAAGAGAGAGAGAGAGACAGACAGACAGACAGATGGACAACAGACAGAGACAGAGAGACAGATAGGACAGAAACTAGGAATGCAGATTTGAGTGTTTTGAAACCTCAAAGCTCAATTCCCAGTGACACACCTCTTCCAGCAAGGTTGTACTCCCAATCTACTTTCTGGTTCCCAAAGGTTTGTTGGCCTATCATAATGCAAAATGCATTTGATCCAATTTCAAAGGTCTCCAAAGTGCTTCACAGTCTCAAAATGCTTTCAAAGTCTAGGGTTCAGTCAAAAGTCTCTTGTGAGACTCAAGGCAATCTGTCAGTTTTAGCCCACTGTAAAACTCAAAACTCAAATTATAGAATTTCACACAGAGAACACCGTTTCAAAAGGAATGGATGGGAACATAAGAAAACACTGGAAACACTGGAGCTAATGGAGACACAAATCAGCAGGGCAAACTTTCAATCCTTTAGATCAATGTCTGACGTGAAAGGGCTTTGACGGCTCTTCCCTTCGAGGCTTGCTGCCTGCAGCACACTTCTCACTCCACCACTTGTTCCACTTCTTGTATTCGGCTTCCCTTGGCAGATGTTCATGGCTTTGACATCTCGACCTTCTTTCACAGCTTCAGACAGTGCCTTCTCAGGGCCTGCATTCAGAGACCCCCTTGCCACACATCTGGTCTCAGTGGTTTTCCATCACCATAAAGAAAGATTCAAGAACAAGTTTTTCATGTATTCTTCTCAAGTTTTACCGCCAACTTGGGATAAACCTTGCCAACAATGAATCACATCCATATTAGCTTTGATTTCTTGTTGCTTTTTGGAGCAAGGAGTTCCTCAGGCCTTTCTTTCTTACAAGTTGAAAGCTTAGTTGGATGGTTGTTTCCTGAAGAACACTCCTCTATTTCTTCTACTTAAGAGGAGGTCTTTCTTTCCATCTCAACAAAAGCCTTGGCTCCAACATTAAATTTCCTGGTGCTATTTTTCTTCTCAAACTGAACATTTTGTATTCCTTTTGGTTTTATATGTTCTTTTTCACTGCAGACCTGTTCTAAAATGATTACTAATAACCAGATAGATAGTCAATATTGGAGTATATTGCAACATTTTTCACCACGGAAATTAATTCATGACTTTTCAATTGAGCCATAGACGTATTCTTACGACTCTGGTAAAGAGGGCCACTTTTTTTTTTTTACCAAAGCATTACAAAAAAATCTTTAGTCCAGTTGCTAATATCATTTCCCTCTGAAACTTCTTGAGCAGGGTTCCCATTGTCCAAACTGCTCTCAATTCGTACAAAGATGGCCATGTTACCTATTTACAATACTCAACTAATTTCCTTGTACAAAGTTGTAAAACCTTTGACACTCCTCCAACCAGTAAAATGGTCAGACCTGTCACAAGACAGTATTTCGAGAACTAAACTTCTTTCTTAGTTGCTGCCCTATTGCTGTGATAAATAACTGTGACCAACCCAATCCATAAAGGGAAGTACTTTAGGGCATTTATGGTTTCAAAGTTTCAGAGTCCATGGATACGGAGAACAAGTATGTTGGTAGGAACAGTTAAAAGTTAACATTTAATGAAACAGGAGGCAGAGAGAGACAGACTAAGAATGATGTTAGTCTTTTAAAACCACACCTCTCCAAACAAGACCACACTCCCTAATTCTCCCCAAACAGTTTCACCAACCAGATATTATTATTTAAACATATGAGCCCAGTGGAACGGTTCTCACTTTAAACCACCACATCATTCAACAATCTTTGTAGACAGCAGACACCTGCTCTGCTGTGATTTTATGTGATGGACATAAACTAACACAGATACATATAAAACAAACAAACAAAATATACCAAATATATTTTTTTCTCACAAGATCCCATTTATTGATTGTTTATCTTAGAGTCTATGCTATTGGTGTTCTATTCGGGAAGTTGTCTCCTGTGTCAATGAGTTCGAGACTCTTCCCACTTTTTCTTCTAACAGATGATCAAAGAACAAGGAATTGAATTAATATCAGAGACAGACCATGCTCCTATTATAGGAAACCCACTTTGAGGCTGAGCTTCCATGGGCTACATCTGAGCAAGTGGTCTAGATTATCTCCATGCATGGTCCTTGGTTGGGGGATCAGTCTTTGAAAAGATCCCTGGGCATAGATTTTTTGGGTTCTGTTGCTCTCCTTATGGAGTTCCTGTCCCGTCCAGGTATTTCTATCTCCCCCTTCTTTTGTAAGATTTCCTGCACTCTGCCCAAAGTTTGGCTATGAGTCTCAGCATTTGCTTCCATACCCTGTTCGGCATAGTCTTTCAGAGGCCCTCTGTGATAGGCTTCTGTCTTGTTTCCTGTTTTCTTACTCTTCTGATATCTACCACACTTGATATTTCCATACTTTTTATTTATTTTTGATTATTATGATTTATTCACTTTTTATCCCAGCTATAGCCACCTCCCTCATTCCCTTCCAATCCCACTCTCCCTCACTCTTCTCCTCCAATGCCCCTCCCTCAGGACACTGATAGGGGAGATCCTCCTCCCCTTCCATCTGACCCTAGCCTATCAGGTCTCATCAGGACTGGCTGCATTGTCTTCCTCTGTGGCCTGGTACAACCACACCCTTATTTGCTTCTTGAGTGGAGATTGAGGAACTTCCCTAGGGTCCTCCTTCTTGTTTAGCTTCTTTAGGAGTATATTTTTAGTATGTTTATCATATATGACTAATACAGCTTTCACTGTATGCAGAATCT